AAACAAAACAGCATCATGTATGTATGTATGCAGAGTTTAATACAAAGGGCTGAAAGCCAATCACACAGAGTACATTTTTCATTTAAAAACATGAGATGCAATGGGATGGGGAAAAAACCCTGCCATAAAGTCTCGATGTATGTTTTTTTTCAAAGTTAAACTTGCATTAATTTTACATGGCTTTCTAAACATGCGGTTCCTTTGTGCAAGATGTGAGTGCAATGGTGATAGATGTCCCTCTAGAAAATGTGCGAAATATACATTCTGTGTGAATGGCTTGGTTTCAGTTTTGATGTAAACAAGATCTTCTCCACATTGATGTTCACTTTTTCCGCAATATTTTTAATGAACAACGCAGCAGCGCCGCATCCAGTGGCTTCAACTGGATAAGCTAACAAAAACATTATAATGCAACAACACTTACATTGTCATCGCATCTGGTGCGCCACTGATAAAGCTGCCTGACGCACACCTAAAATGTGGATTTTTATTTTAAATTCGACGAATATTCGAATTTTTTTTGACAGCCCTACTACCCATGATGCATTTCACTCGGAACGAACTGTTACAGCCGTAGATAGTGATCTTCAGCATCTCCCGCAACACTGTTATTGATATGACTGCGATAAGCGCGTGCTTCTGACGCAGCGTGCAGCTGAAATCAACCACACACTCCTCACAATGAAAACATCGACCTTAGAAATAATGAACGTGAACACTGGGATAATCGTCAATGTATATGGCGAACCCCCGTTGAAATGCATACACAAAAATGCTTATTTCATTCAACCTGTTTCATGTCCGTTACTATCGGCGTGTCATCAGAGCGATTACATATGCTCTAAACTGCGTTTTGCTCCGGCTGTATAAACACAGATGCTAAATGCTGCTGCTAATATGCTTAATACTCGCTCCTGCATACAATGCAAACTGCTAACATGACAGTTTAAACTTGATTATGGTTGCTTATTTTTTAATTCAATTAGGCAGACCATGCAATACACACAGCAATATGGATTAGAAGAGCATTCACTTATCTTAGATGTTGATTTCGCTGTTCTGAAGCAAGCTGCATATATTTGAATGTTGAGCAGCGAGCTCATTGGCTACCGATACAGGAGAGAACCAATCAGTTGTACCATGTGATAATGATGTTATTAGGTCAGATTGAGTTAGACCTATCGGACTGCGCCATCTAGAGTTTCATGCCAGAACTCTGTATTTCACATTTTACATTTAGCTAGCAGATGGTTTCATTCAAAGCAACTCAATTGAATCAATTGATCAGCTGTATTCGACCTTCACTGGAAAACTGGAACATCCTTCAACTCGCTTCAATTTCCATTCAGATAGATTGGAGATTTGTTCTCACTTTCAGACACTAATGAAAACAGACAGAGAGACAATTTAAGTGTCATATCTTAAGGTTAGCATGTCTTTTATCAGGAACAAATTCAACAAACATTAGTTTAAAGGAACATTAAGATTAAAGGGGTCATGAACTGCCTTTGTTTTTTATTTTGTTCTGTTCTCTGAGGTCTACTTATGTTATCAAGATTTTTATATAAAAACATCATAATTCAGAAGTAATAGGCTATTTTCTGTCTTGTTTTGACGCCCTCTTCAGAATGCTCTGATTGAAGAGGCGTGGCGGACTCGGAAGTAAACGCTCACTGCTGTGATTGGCTAACAGTTGAGTATGTTTGACAACTACATCCTTCATAGATGGACACTGCTTGTGATTTAGATTAAATACCGCATAAATACTCATATCAACGATCTGTAATAACAGAAAAAGCAATAGTGAGCAGGTAATGAATACAGTTCCTCACACTTGTGTGGGGCGACATCGGATCCAATATAGTCGCACAGCGTCGTCTTTTAGTTTCAATATTTCTGAAAATCCTGTGGCAAATTGTGCTTTGTTTGTAAATGAATCTGCAGTGAAATAAAGTGAACAAAGGACCGAGTTCTTACTGACGCCGTCTGGGTCTTCATTAAAAATAACGTTAATCCTCTCTTTCCTAATGTTGGGATGCAAAGACTGTTTTTCCACAACTTGGCTCTGCACAGCGTCTTGTTGTGTTCAGAGTATCTTTATAGTTTGATTTCAGCGTAATCCTGCATTAGCTTCTCTTGTTATTTACACACTACGTGCACAATTTGGTGGGCGGGGCTAAGAAGGCAGTGATGTAGAAGCAGGCGTTGATCTTCTGCGGAGGCGGAGTTTAGCCACACTATTACATCATAGATAGAACAGGGGTCTCCAACACGTAGCTAGCCAAAACTTACTTTTTTTATTCAATCAGAGTGCGCTAATATAGACAGGTGTCCCACCCCCTCCAATGCAAATAAATTATTTGTTCTGACATGTCGGCCGTGAGGTACATTTAATTATCACGTTTACAAATCACGCAACAAAACTTGCGGTAAATACTGCTCAGAGTTAAGTAAAGTTAGTAAGAGTCCCACGCAGGCACAACACGCAGATTAGGTTTTGTGTGAAAACATGACTCAAGGCAGACTGTTGAGAGAAATTATATGAAAGAATGTATGATTGAATTAATTGTATGAATGCATAAGGAGGAACCAGCTGTCTTCAGAAAAGTTTCAACAGCATTTTCTTTTCATCTTCCTACCTTGTAATGCCTAATAACGCAGTACTTATAAGTGCAGCGAAACAGCTCTATTTCAGCTGTTATGCACCACCTGCTGTCAAACAGTGGATTTATAATTTTATAAATATCTGAAGTGTTGAGATTTTTAGAAAGCATATTAACTTATGTAGAACTGTTTATGGAGCAGATAAAATATAATTTATCATTCTGACTAATCCTTTTATATATAAAAAATATTTAAAGGCTGAAATGTGAGGTTTATCATTTTCATAAAAAAAGGTTTTTCTTCTTTTGGTCAAAACATTTTTTGAACACATTGTAGATGTCAGCAGAACATGTTATGAATATTTTTTGTTAGTTTAAAAACTGGCCATCATTTTTTATGTTTTTATTTAAATGTTTATGCAAACAAAAAGTGCATAGTGCAGCTACTTTTGTTGGTTTTCGACATAAAACTTGGTGAAATGATTTCAGTGTGTGTATCAGTACTTTTTGAAAATGTTTTAACAAGTTATACCATGTATAACAGTTTAAACTGATACATTATTTAAGAGAGTTAAGTATTATATAACATGGGTAGCTCTCAGCCACTTTCATTTTTAAAAAGTAGCGCTCGAATGAAAAGGTTTGGAGACCCCTGGAGTAGAACATTCCACAAGCTGTTTTTAGGCTAACAAGATAGTTTTGAGTTTTGAAACTTTTAGGATGTTTTTATATTACAATGACCTCTTACATGTCAAAAGATCAAAGGAATTTTGGTTTCTCGGTATA